GACGTCAATTTTCTTCTATTAATTAATTGCAAATTATGAATTATTCAATTGTTGTCGATTGTCAACATCACAGTGTAGAAGGTCCAAAAGTTTAATGATAACGAAATCAAACCGTGCGGTTTGTGCTTTGTAACTCCGAATGAAATCAAATTTTTAAGTACGCGCGTGAAGAGAAAAATTCGCAATTCAGAGTTCGTTTTTTAATTGTTTATAACTACAAGGTTTAACTTTTTAGTTAAACTGGGATATTTGACAGTTACCCAAGATTTAATCGGCTGCTCTCATTGAGATGCGCCGATTGAATTTTAAAACATCTTTAATCTAACATAGCATGTAACAGACTTATATTTACGTTGAACAAATGAATTGTTCATTATGGAAATGCTTCCAAACTAGAGACTGAAACTGCAACTTTTCGTACTCACAACACGAAAAGACGAATTCTTAGACAGAAAAAATAATCAATTTGATTATTTTATTCGGTTATATACTTAGGAAGAAAACATATAATTGGCTACTAAACAGATTCCAACAAAAAAAACGTGTGCAAGATGATATTGCAAGATGTTATTGAATTTAAATAGAAAAAAAAATCAATTTATCGTTTCTTACAAATCAGTATTGGTCATTTACTCGAGTAAATGTCCCGCGGTGCCGTCACGAGTGATCACTCTTAGAAGCTTAGCCATGAGTAAATTTGAAAATTAGTCATGAAACATTTTTCCTCCATGAGTAAATCACTCGTGAAAAATGTTATCTCCATGACTAATGTTGAAAAAAAAAATGTGTTTTTATTTTATTTAATCTATTTTTTTTTTGTCACCTTTCGGATTTATTCGAAATCAGGGTCGACTATTATGATTTGTCGAGGCCCGGGGGAGGCAATCTCAAATTGGATATCATTTTCAAAAGAAGCACCCCCCAAAACATATAAGTCGACCCTGATACCGATTTAATCAATTAGAATTAACTATTCTAATTTTGCATTCGGGTTTAGTTAGATTTCTCCTATCTAAAAAATGACGGTGATATCTCTATAGTAATAAGCTAATAGGTAATTGCAAGACTTGCACAAGACCTAAGACCAAGACTGAGTGCGTAAGACCAAGACTCGTCTTAGTCTCGCATTTGGGCAACACTAATATCATCAAATAACTTTTAACAGAAATCTCTGTACACCATTACCTAATTGACATTGATAAATAACTTTTATTTCAAAAATTATTTACTTGATAAAAGTGACAAGGAGTCATTTATCCTTGTCCAGTACTCCGTCATGTCTTCCCACATCATATAGCTAGCTACTTCCCTTAAATGAGATAATATTTGACAATTTTGTTTTCCTCCTTTTTTAGTGAGCAATGGATTTTCCCCAATAGGACTATGTATTTCCTTGATGATACTATTTATGACAATATGAAATAAAATTAAAGTTCACAAATTACGTAAATATCGCTCAACCGCAAAAAATTAACCTTTCTAATCAAATTAGGCTCTTAAAAGGTGGTTTAAATTCTTTGGATATACGGTGTATTTTGCAAGTCATAAAAAATATTTTTCAAAGTTTATTACTTATTAAATGTGCATGATCTGTATTAGCCGTCCAGCAATGTTTTGCGGAGTTGAAGAAAAGTCTTTGGCAAGTTTTTCTCGAAATCTATCAACACCAGCAAACAATATACGAAAAGAAGTTCCTTAATAATCTCCTTTTTCTTATAAACTCAAATTAAAAACATTTAATCCGTATTCACTTCCATTCACTCCTGTGTTCCATTCACTCTGCTAATCTTTGTATCCATTCATAATGATTTTGTACCGGTAAAAGAAAATTAAACTGAAAAGTAATAATTATAGACTGGTAGGAAAAGCAGTGGCGTGAATAACGCCAACGCAACCGATTCGTAACGTTTGGACGCAGAGGTTGTGGAGTGCAGTGCATAGACGTTCATATGAATAGACCACCTTGCATAAAAGAGTTGCTCAAACATTAATGTATTACCTGTAATATAATTATAATCTATAGGGTTTATTAATCATCTTCTGAGTAATCTTAAAGCATTTATCCGCGAAATATTGAAGGGTCTCGCATCCTAAAAATTTGGGTGGCAAAACAGACCTCGAAAAATGAAGTATGTTTTATCACTGACCTCACAGAATCTTTTATCGCGATTAATATCTGGTCTGTCATTTAAATTTCTTTATTTCAATTAGCAATATTTTTGAGAAGATAAGCTTCAAAATAAACTGCCTCTCCTGCCTGACCAAATCCTCTGCTGAGTGAGTTAGGTGCTAGGTGCTTGTATAAACACAAGGAACTGCCCCGCCTTCAGCCATGTGGTCCTCAATGTTTACCGCCTGAGTTTTTTTGTCCTTTCGGAAACAGTTTAGTCATAGCTCATGCTACACATAAAGCAACGGAGGCAGCAGTGTAATAAGCGACTAAATAAATAATGCTTTCAAGACACTCGTTTTAATTTCACTATGCCAAATTGTAGAAAATTTGAGTTTTGACATAAAAAAAAAAGTTGATTGAAATCTCATCACTTGCTTACAGTGGCGAAGTCCAACCAATGTTTTAGAGATGCACGGGTGGATCTACGGGAGGGGGGGAGGGCTTTCGGGCTGAAGCTCCCCCAAAATGGTAAAATATAGCCATATTTTATCGAAAAAAATATAAAAAAAGTATCTCTTAAAGCATTATTGTTTGTATAATTACATTTAAAGGGGCTTTAGGAATCACTTAAACAGCATTTCATACAGTTAGTTAGTTTCTTTCATCTTTTCCAAAGTGATTATCGTTATTTTTATTTTTAAAAAACCGCTTTCGGACTGAAGCCCTCCCAAAATTAAATCCTGGATCCGCTAGTGTAGAGATGTATTGAGTTTTGGATAATACATAACTCCACCAATATTTGTATTTGACTTTTTTTGGATGCCCAAAAACCTCTATAATTGAGTTCCTCCTCTATAACTTATTACTATGTAATAAATAAAAATAAAAAACTTAAAAATTTGTTATACATAAGTCAAATAATTATTAATAGTATTTGCCTAAAATACCGTAACTTTTTTTATGACTACATAGGAAATAGGTTTACTAAAAACTATTAGTGAATGTTAGTAAATTATTATTAAATTATTAGTAAACGTGTCTTATTAATAATTCTATATTTGGTCAATTTAATATTAGTAAGAAAACAAATGTTGATGGATTACTTCAGTAGTTTCTATTTCGAATATGACCTAGGATGGTTGTCCTGACAGACATACTGAATAATTCTTGATCTTCTGTCTGGCTTGTATAGACCGCTAACTTACTAGTATGATCCCCTCATATTTGAAGCACTTAAGAACATCAAGTCAAATATAATAAAATAGCTTCTACAGATTATATGAAATAGGTAGATCAAATCTATGAAAAGAGCTATTAAACATCATTTAAATAGTTTTAAATATACAGAGTGTCCAGTAAGTAGAGGAAAATATGTAAAAGGTTGATATTAGACATCAAGATCTTCAAAAAAGTTCATATGAACAATTGCCCAATTTCCAGCAGAAAAGTAGGAAATTTATGATTTCTGTTTTTTCAAGAGTGTCATATTCTTTGTTGAATAGGAAGCAATAACTTAAAAAATTTTTTGATTAAAGTAGTTAAACATTGCTCCATAATAAGCTAGACAAAATTTACTTTAAACAGGAGTAGAGTTTGTCATTTCTAAACCTATTTAAAAATGAATATTGAGCGGTAAACACAGCTAAGTTCCGTTTGAAAAATTTAACACAGCTACAATATTCATCTATTTTGCCAATAAATAAAGAATTTTTAGTGTAAATATTCAATGTGTTTAAATTATTCGTTGTTTTTTAGTACAAAGTATAAATAAAGGTTATTTATTTAATACAATTCACTTTAAAATTAAAATAATAACTATTAAAGTACTGGTTTCTTAGTTACATTTTTTAAGATAAAAGATTTTCTCACCTTCCAGGAGGAGGTGTCTCTCCCCTGGATCCGCTAGTGCTTCTAATATGAGTGTCTCTAATCCCTAAAGGGCGCAATGTAATGGTATCAAGCTATGGTTAACCTACAGTTATATTTCTGAAACTATAGTTAAATGATGATTGAATCCCTCTGCAATATCTTTGTGCTTGAAGAAATGAATATCAGTAAAAAATTAGATGTTTTATTCTATTTTTTAAGAATTAAATCCTTAAGGAAATTTAACATTCCTCGAAAGGGGAATGTTCCTGTGATAAAATAAATAATATTGCTGATCTAATTCAAAAGAACTCAAGCAATATAAATATTTAACACTCTTATACCTTAGCACCTCTGATGTAGATTTGGTGATAATGGGACATGTTGACCCATTTTTTTCCTATATTTTTTCTTCTATTTTAATGATAAAAGGTTAGGAAAACCATTTACAATTTTTTTTAGCCTGTTATATGAGCCAACATGTCCCTTACTCAGGGTACAAAGGCTTATGTGATGTTTTCTAGCTGAACAGTGTTTTCCTGAGATTATCTTCAGAACATGAAAAAGATCATTGTTTGTTTTATCAAAGTATTTAATTACTGAGATTAATCTTTTTTTTTTTCATTTAAAGCAACTGAAGGATCATCGCATTACAAACTTTTTGCAATTTTTTTAATAAAAGTCGTATCTATGAGGATAACGTTAAATATGTAAATAATTTTTTTTAAAAATGTAAATAATTATTTAATATGTATTTAAACTGAGCTCTAGCCAAATTTTTGTTTACAGCCTATCAGCAGAAATTGAGAAACACAAAATACTACAATAATTCTAAGACTATAAGCTTCAAATTTAGTACTTACCTGCGGCGCTATGAAATATTAAGAAACATAAGTGCTCATACAACCTGCTCAAACTTTACTAAATATTTCCTCCCTTCATCTTTATATTCAATATCCCTGATTTTATGAAATTTGTTATACCACCTTACCATGTTATTAAAGTAGATTTTCTGTTTCAGCTATTCGCAGCCACTGCTCACATTTGCTGCAGTGTCCACTGTACTCATTATGGTGGTTGGGCTCGTTGGCAACCTTCTCACTATTGTTGCACTCCTCAGGTGTCCACGAGTAAGAAATATTGCGGCAGCCTTCATAATCAGGTTAGTGAGGTATCATATTTAACTAGTTCCGTATTTATTCATTGATTTTTTTTTTACATTGCAAAAAAAAATGTTTTTTCTAAAATTCGATATATATATCATAAACATAATGGATATCAATCCTTTCTATACCTATGGTGTTTAAGCATGATTATAAATCATATAGTGCAATAAAGGTATATTTTGCCAAAAATAATTGTTATGTGGCAAAATATGCCTCATTGATTAATATTTTACAACAATTGAGCTAAGCATTTGAAGTTGATTTTTAAATGTTTAAGCATTTGAGGTAAATTATAAATAATTATTCATAGCATGATATCTTTTTCTTTACAGCCTATGTGCAGCTGATTTCCTTTTCTCTGCCGTGGTATTGCCATTTTCAGCAAGCAGGTTCATCATGGGTACTTGGGTTCATGGAGATACCTTGTGTAAGATAGTTCCACTAGTTACATATAGCAATGTGGGTGTCTCTCTCTTATGCATTGCAATGATAACAATCAATAGGTAAGAATACAAGAAACATAAAGGTGGCAATAGCATCCATTACTATTCATTTATGAGTTGAACTACAGTTGACTAAATTATATTTATATGTGATTTTATTGGTTATGTAACTGTGAGAAATTAAATAAGCTGTTATCATCCATTCTTTAAAGGTATTCTTCAATTACCTTTTCTCAATATAATCTAATGTTCTTATTTTTAATTCTTATAAAATAAATTCTAAAACTCAACAACCGCATATAAAAGATTTAAACTATTGCCTGCAGGGATATAGAAAAGGTTATTTTTTGAAAATTTGTATCACTAATTTATCAGGTTCCCAATTGCACTTTACAGCGGAATATATTAATTCTACATATTCCATTATGAAATATGTTGTTGGCTTCATTAAAAAAAAAAAAAAAAAACATTCACTACTACACATAATTGTTATTTACAGTTTGTAATTGTATTGTTATCATTGTTTTAATTGTATTGATATAATCATTTACAATAACTGTTACTGAATTTTGCTCTTTTTGTACTAAGCCATCAATCATTCATATTTTTGAACATTATTATTTTCTAAATGGATTAACAAACAGTTACAAAAGGGAGCTAAAACACATTGATATTCATTGAGCATTTGAAAAATTTAAAAATTTGTCAAGGAATTTGTATAGGTTTTTATTTTTTAGCTATTTGTAACTTGTACTTTTAATTAATTTTTTTATTATATTAATTTCATTGTATGAGCTTCATTTTATTGATTGTTATACAATTAATTTTAATACTACAAGAATAGAACTAAGAGTAAAAGTAAAAAAAAAAAAACTAAAAAATATAAGCAGCAGAGCTCACCACTGAGTCACTGAATTGTGGTTTCTCATTTTATTTTATTTTATTATTTTTTTTTTTATTAAAAAGATTTAATTGTTTAATTTAGAAAATTCAATAGAATTTTAAAATCAACTGAATCCAGAAGATAAATATTTTGAGTGTTTTTTTATTTGTTTAATTGCAGTACAATCTGTTATTGTTATTTACTGTTGTGTGATATCATAAAAAGATAAAAATATTTAAATATATATTTTTGTCTAATTATATATTTTTCATTAAATTACAATAACCATTTTTTTTTATTGTAGGTATATAATGATAGCACATTACGGAGTGTACACCAAAATCTATAAGCCTCTCTGGATTGGATGCATGATTGCTTTTTGTTGGGCTTTGAGTTTTGGCATGCAAATTCCAACATTCTTAGGATATTGGGGTAAACATCATTCATAAAATAGGCTCAGAGCTTCATTTAAATGGAGATGTTTTTTAATGAAGTATTTAAATAATTAATGAAAATTTAACTATTAATTGTATTAAATTGTACATTATTTTTGTTTAGGTAAATATTCATATGATCATAACCTTAGGACCTGTTCAATAATGGAAGATGAATGGGGTCGGTCATCAAAGCAATCTTTATTTTTGATTGCATTTGTTATTCCTTGTCTTATTATTGTAGGTTGTTATGCAAAGATATTCTGGGTGGTCCATAGGTAATAAAAATTTAACTACATATTGAATTATTAATAGTTTATAATTTTATATACTGGAAAACTATTCTAAATCACAGGATTTTGTTTAGCTCTGAGAGCAGAATGAGGAGGCATGCTGCTGGAAACACTGGGAAAGACAAGAGAGAGTCAAAAACAAAGAGAAATGAGTGGAAAATCACAAAAATGGTTCTGGCCATTTTTTTGTCTTTCTTAGTCTGTTATTTACCGATTACCACCATTAAAGTATATGATCCTTTTGTAAAATTTCCAGGTAATTTCTTTTTTTAATCTTGATTACAGTAATATGTGTTGAGTTCATTTTCAGGATATGTAATGCATAATTGTCTCATTGAAACCGAACTCTTACTGGTATACTGGTATGAGCTGCCCTGCCTGGGGCATGAATTCTTAACACTGATACAGTACAAATCAGTTTTAAATACTATATAAAGATTAAATATTTAAAGGTGTAAAGAAATAAATTTCAACCTGTTGAATAAGTTAACTCTTTCAGTTTATACTGTACAGCTGTATTCGTGCCTATGCAACAATAGGCCTGTTTGTTTTTTCTTAACATTCTCAGTAAGCGGAACCTTCAGAAGCTATTCTAAAAAATATTTTGTGATTTACATTTCTACTTACAATATTATTCAAGAGCTAGAATGTTGTAGTTCTGTATGAGTTATATTTGTGTATCTGGTGTAGTTTATTTAGTATTCAGTGAAGTCATTCTTAGTTTTTACTATTCTAAATACAATTTAGCCTCTAGATTTCTAATACCTAATTTAATTATAATATCTCAATAGTTAATGTAGATTATAATTATAAGTCATTTTAGTGTTTTATTTATTATTTTTTATAAAGTCGGCCCAAGACTCCCACTGAAGTCCTATACTGCCATTTTAGTGTTTTAAAATTATTTTCTGAAATTGTGTATAAACCTTTTTTATTTTTTTTCAATGTATGCATTAATATGAGAACACTAAAAACTCAAAACATTGCCAAAAGCTAGTTTTCTGTTTATTTACTGAACCTCAAAATGCAATATTGTTTGATTTTGAATTATATTTATGTTGTTTTTGTTTTTTCAGTGATACATGTGATTTCATATCTCTTACTCTACATGTCTGCATGTATAAACCCTATTATTTACGTGATCATGAACCCACAATACCGACAGGCCTATAAGACTGTCCTGATGTGCCAGAGGCCAAGGCTACTGTCTATGACACCTGCTGGATCCAGCCTCGGAGGTCAGTTTCACAACAACGTCGTAGCAACGTGAGTCAAAAGCATGCAAATCTAGTAGGTCCTGTTTCTTTATTAACAACTCCCACAATTTTGTCACCTAAGCCTGTTGTTTTCCAGCCTCGGTTATGGATAACCTGATTAATAATGATTTTAATTTAAATTTTATTTGCTCAATGAATGGAATAGCATGCTGTTACAAAACATCAATTAGCTTATATCTGCAATTTGATATAAGTTTTTTTAAAGTATATTGGCAGATTTGGTAGTCTGTATGATATAATAATAGTACTTTGGTGTTTGGAATGAGTGATAATCTCTTGAGCTTACAATAGCAGTTGAGACCGGATATTCAAATTTGCTTCCAAAAATCTTAAGCATCCATTAAAATAAAAAATTGGATTTTGTTAACTGATTTAGTGATTTTTTAAATATGGTGGTAGCAAAGAAATGATATACTGATTTTTTTATTATATCAACAATTACAAAAAAAATTATATTTTCTGATTTAACTTTCTACCTAAGCTAATCTGGTATACTTATCTATTGAATTGAAAATTTCTTTAGGCTCCTTTTGCAAATTTTTTGTGGAGAGTGAATTAGATTGAGCCATCAGATCTCCAATGTGTAACCCTTGGGTAAAGTCTGCTGTAGTCGACTAATTGAAGTGTTTTTGCATATGGATCAAAATAACTGAAAAATGAAAAATCGGACCTGCATTTTGTTACCAAGGAAAGTGCTCATCATTTCATCCTCTTTGTAACGAGCTATTATTCAAATTTTTATCTTATCGTGATGCCATGTTAGGGAGGCAAACAGAATAAAAATAGTATTGAAAACCGAATGATAAGGAGTTTTATTGAAGATATGGATTAAAATATCTCAGAAACTAAAAATCGAACGTGCGTACTGTAAGGGAGAGAAATGTTCAGCATTCCATCCTCTTTATTATGAGCTATTATTAATGATTTATATTTCATATTATAAATCTAGCCTTGTTGATGTTTTCAGTACTATCGAAACAGGATAACAATCCAAAGGGGTTTAAAAGAAAAACAAACTACAGAAAATGAACAGGGTTACTAAAAACCTTACATCTTAAGTTAAAAAAAAAAAAAACTTAGAATTAATTTCAGTAATATAATATCATGAGTATTAACAGGATAACAATCCAGAGAGGATTAAATGAAAAACGAACTACAGAAAAAGAACAGGATAACAAAAAACCTTACATCTTAAATTTAAAAAAATGATCTATCTCATTTTTTTTTAATTTCCTTAATAGCATTCGGAATTTTCTTTTAATTTATGAAAAAAAAAATCACAATAATTACAGTTAGAGAAAAAAAAAATTGTGAATACTATCAAAACTATAGGGTTTTTTTTACACTTAATTTAAATCATGTAACCAAAGAAATTTTTTCTTTGATGTTATAATCCGTTGGTATGATAAATTTAACATCATCATATATTGATATATATATCTTTGTTTATTGTTAAAAGTTGTCAACATTACAAAAAAGTGCTTTGATGTATTTTCTCTTTGTGAATTATAAAAATTGTGTAGTTAGTGTAACTAATTTTGATATTTGAGTTACTTACCATGTCTGTACTTGGAAAAACAAAATCCATTACAACATACTTAAATGTTTAGCTCCATTCAAAATGTATTTAGTGACTTTTGCAATAAAATTGTAATATGATCTTTAGATTATTTTTTGTATTGTAGGTATCAACCATATTAATATTTTTAATAAATGCTAAACACTTGCATTAATCAGCTTTCCTGTTACACAAGTATATCTTAATCCGAACTAGAATAGATAAGCTGGATTCTACTGTAAATCAGATTTATGACTATCAAAAACATGGCAAAATATTTTTTATGGTGATGGGTTTTATACTGGCATGAACTGTTTCCATTAATTCTGTGAGCACATTGCTTGGAAAAGCATCACAAATAAAGCATTTAGACACAACAGCATGGGTGTTGGTTTTTTCTGTTGTTGATTTAAATACTATTAATCATTAAAAGAATCTGAAGGAAGGAATATCCTTTTAAAAATACTATTAATAGTTTTCAGATTAATTGTCTTTTTTTTTTCTTTTTTTTTTGTAATGCCTCTGTCATTCTTTCTTAAAATAAGATTCATGTTCAGAAGTTTACTTAATAGTTTAATTTTTATTTGTTTTTTGTAATTACAACTGAGAAATTCTTGTTCTAAATTATTCTTTTGTAGAAATAAAGATTCAATACAACACAATAAAAAGTTGGTCACAATATCTTAAATAGCTACTAAAATAATTGAAAATCATTATTCTTAAATGCAAGAAAAAGTGGAGAGAAAGCAAGGGCCTCAGGAATAATTTCCACAGGCTCCTGTCAGAAATTAAATATACCATACTTTTTATAAAGGGTGTAAAAAAAATATTATATGAAGATATATAATTATTATATAATATACTTAATGTTGCCTCTACTCTATCTTAATTTGAATTTTCTAAAATAATACCTTGTAGGCTAGGCGTCCTTTCAAGCCTGTCCCTCCTCCTCTATCCTCCCACCCTCTCTTCATGCCTACCATTAAATGTATAATGGTGTGAGGTGAGATATAATGATTCATATAGACTACTGCTTCAGTAATGACACTCTCTTCTTTATCTATGACTTTGATAATTCTATTCAATATAATATTAGAGTATTTGAGTGTTATATTAGAGTAGAGTATATATTAGGATGTATTTGAAGAACATAAAAACTAGGGCCACCACTTCCACCTTTCCTGAATGTATTGAATTTTTTTAATTTTAGCTGTTAATGTAATTTAAAACTTTTATTTGATATTATCAGAGACATTTCATCTTCCCCTACAAGACTTCTAAACAATCATATTTATATACCACAATGTTTCATAAAAAAAAATTATTTTTATTATTTTAGAAGATAAATGCCTGCTGATATGTGTGTCAATACAAATATCAGCTTATTTGTAAATGTTTTTATAGATTTTAGACCTCTCTGAAAGGAGATCTTGATTTAATTTTCCATACTCAGAAATAAAACAAAGATGGATATATAATCTAATCACATAATATTATCAATCAGCCAAAGTCCCTCAAGCAATTCTGAACTAGGTTTTTAAAATTTATTAGGGCTTTATAATCTCAATTTGTATTCATAACTACATACATACATAACTAAATTGTTTTAATACAATTAAATAATAACTATTTCAATTAAAATATTTGCTATTAGTTTTAGTATTGCTTCAGATTCTTTTCTATTTTCTGTCTCATACAGAACGTTTCAGTTAAAAAAAAAAAGTTTCTTTTCAAACAATAATTTTATTTTGATGAACTTTTTTTCAGGTAAATCCAAAGAGGACAGTAAGACAATAGTGTCACAAGTTTCAATTGCATTGACTCCTGTTCATTTACAAGACATGCCAGAAATCGGTGACAAGCGTCTCTAAGGATGTCAATAAAGTAAAGAAAGGAAAAAATGTTCAAATATTTTAGAAAACTCAGAATGGTATAAAATATAATTCAGACCTTTTCACAAAATTATTCCATTATAGTATGGAAAACAAATTTTTTAACCAAAAGATGTGAATCAGAAATGTAGGCAAACTGCCTTATCATGTCAAAAATGTAAATGTTTAAAGAAACAAAAAAACAATGTTGTACAAAAAATTGTAATTATTATTATTATTAATTTTTCATTAGTATAGTAGTCATGAATTGAGTTCAGGTAGTTTTGTATTGAACAGATTTGTATTGTAAATAATAATATGTAATATGCTATTTATATAAATATATTTTCTATTTTATCTTTTGTACATTTTAAAATAATAGTTTTAATGTAAATAGTAACGGATCAAATACAGATCTCGCTTCTTGTGTTTTATAAAAAATGAAATAATTAAAATACGTCATATATGAAATGTATACATCATTTGTAACTATTCACTCAAAACTTTAGTAAAGTCTTATGAACCTTGTATACAGAATTTAGATTTATGAACATATTTTTAAAAAACAGTGATAAAAATTGTGTTGTCGTTGTAAAATGATTGGATAAATATATATACTTGGGAAATGGTAAGCATTGAATATTAAAATTTTTACTTTTAATGAAATTTATCTATGAAAGAGTGAAAATAATCTCATTAAGAGAATAATATCTATCTTTATTATTATTAATAGAATTTTTCTTTGATAGTGATGATATTTCAACTTGTAAGCAAATATTACTTACAAATATTTAATTAGTTATTTAATGAAAATGTTGAATAACCAAAGTTAAATATACAAATCTGAATATTTTACACATAATGTGTAAGTGAGATTAAAAAAATTGAATAGATAGTAATTCATAATATACAGCATATTTATTGTTTCATTTTTAAAATTGTTATCTTTGTTTTGTTTTACTTTGTACATTTCGATGCTTACAAGTTTTTCTATAAAATATTGAAGGACCGATAGGGCTGGTTTTGGAGGGAGCACTGGACTGATAAGTAAATATTTGTGTGTACGATAATAAATTATCTTGTGGTAAAAATACCTAACTAATCCATAGGAAAAAGTTCTCATCTAACAGAAACATATGTGTACAGTTCCGTTGTATTCTTTTTATGTACTTGTTAAACTAGACCTATTGTGCTTCGGAACCCACAATCCCTAAAGATAATGGGTAGGGCCATTTCATTTGTGGAGAAGAGTTCAAAGTGTAACAATAATTTGTTTGTTTTTAATTGAAAATAAATTATTTCATGATGAAAGAAAATCTTGATGAAATATTAAGATAAATAGTTCAACAAGAGGTTTTCGGATTATAAACTTCAAAAAATTAATATTTCTTTATGATGATAAATTATATAAAGTACACAGATGAAGTTTAAACTGAATTGAGATTGTCAATGATATCTTAAAGTTATATTGAAGCATATTTCTGGATCTCTTTAAAAATATTTCAAGCAGCTATTTTTATTACTTGTTAAACTATTTGATACTAAGTAAGTGATACGAGCTAATCATTTGCAAAATTTGTTTTCAGTTCATTCACTTTCATGTTATCCGTATGGTTTGTTATATCAATACAGATTTCAACAAGTATTGTAAAGAAATTACTAAAATTGTAATGTATCTGTTGAATTATAATGTGTAAATATGTATTATGCGATTCCTTTTTATAATATTATTTGTGCCATTGTTTCTTGTTTTTTGTTTATAGATTTAGAAATTTTATATTGTAAAAAAAAATTGATATTTTGTCTATTACCAAATATTATTATAGAGACCAAAGTTTAGACAAATATCCATCTAGTCTTAAGAAGGAATGTTACTACTACGTTCTAATTAGTCTTTAAAAGTATAATTCTCTTATATTTATTTGTAAATCCAAAGTCTATAATAGTCATACCTAATAAAATAGTATTTGTAAGCCTCATAATCTAGTAAATATATATTATATATATATTTGAATTTTTATTATAATGGGTTCATTTAAATTTTCTATTAAACGGATCCACAATAACATATGTATTCATTCCACCTTAATCTTTCAATAAAAACACATACAAACATAAGAATAAAGAATAACATAAAAATATAATAAGGACAGACCAATAAATTAGAAAAGGGCAAAATCAGCAACGTAATTTTCTTTGTTACATCAACTGGCTGAGAGATATCAATCAAAAAAGACTAGTTTTAGCTAAAAATGTGTTTGAAAAAAAGAAAGGTAATTGGATGATATCTTAATTAATCTATTAATCAGTTTATGGTTAGTTACTTATTAACTTCAATAAGAAAAGGAGAAATCGAGAAAGAAAAAAGTCTAATTATTTACAGTCATACTTCTTTTATAACTTGTCCTGGTATAAGTTATGTAATAGAAAAAGTTAGAAAAATCAAACATATATTTCATTTTGGCAAAGACAGGATGTTGACTGATTTCTTTAAAGATTTTCTTTGTGGAGGTTATCACTGACTTCAGACTTCATGATTCTCGCTACTTAAGATCCAAATATTTCCTGGATTTTTGTTAAAAGTGTGTTACAGTAATTAGACCAATGGATCAATAAATCATCCTTTTTCATCCTCCTTTCTACATGCCTTGTCCTGTGAATTAATTGATGCTCTGTTTTTCTTATAATTTTTTTAAATCATTCTGGATTGCTTAGAATGATTTATTCTATCATTTCTTCAAACTGCTACCTTTCCCATTCTTCTTTTTCCTACAGTGCAGTGTTCTATTTTATCTTCTCATAGTAGTTCTCATGCCTCCCTATTATTACACTTTTGCATCATGATTTTAGATTTTTTTTTTGTTGTTGCTACTGTGGCTGTTGGACAATCTGCATCAAAACTAACCACCCTCATTACTCTTTCTTCAAGTAATAATTTAAATAAATAATTTAAGTAATATCAAAAGGGTAGCCTAATGTTCTTGGATGGAGCCATTCAGCATGCTGTTATTCAAAATCATTTCATCTAGCTTCCGACAATATCTTACACTCACTTCTGAATATTTTATCTTAGACATAGCCATCATTTCTGTCTTGTTTCTTTCTTCATTTTTACATCTTTCTGTACTTTCCTGAACTCAATCAGAAGCTTGCCATACCTACATTCAGTGTCAGCCTTGGGGCCAGGTATTGACCTGGGGCGCCGAGCAGGAGGCAGTTGCCCTCCCTCCCCTCCTCCCTCTTGTTATGAATAAATAAAAGTACAAAGTATATAAGATTAAATAATATTAGCCTTTTAAGAAAGTGAAAATTAGAGATATATTTAACTAAATAAAATTTAAACATTACTTTATAAAAAAACAATTTAAGAAATAATAGGTAATGTGTATATTTTTCTTGAAATATTGAAAAATAGCCTTTAGTTCAATCTGAATTTTATTTTATCATTACAAGGAGCTTTCAGTGCATTGCACAATATTCATCTATTTCTAATCTATACCCATCCAATTGGATGCTGTACCTTAAATTTATTTTTCTTTCCAATCATTCATTGATTAATACTATTTATTAAAAATATATTGATGGAGAGGAGAGAACCTTTTTCATCCTATAATATCCTACAGGACTTAGTAAGAATGGAAAAAGTCCTCTCCCCTCCAACAATATATTTTTGATTAATAGTATAACAATTAATGAATGATTGGAAAGCAATTTTAAAAGAACAATTACATCCAAATGAATTGATATGGAATAATATTGTGCAATGAACTGAAATCTCCTTGTAATGATAAAATAAAATTGAGACTGAATCAAAGGGTATTTTATTATAGTTCATAAATTAATTTTTTGGGAGGAAAGATGACATCATTGCCCTTGGGCACCAAATGTCTAAGGCCGGCCCTGCCCACGTTTTTAATATTATCGAAGAAAATTAAAGTAATTTTATTTGTGACATAAATAATAGAAAACAGATTAATTTTAAGCAGATATGAGTCATACTTAAAAAAAATATATAATTCATTTAGTTTTATTTTAAACAATGGTAAGATACTTTTACCAAAATGTTCTCTCTTCATTTTTCTCATTATCAAGGATGAAAATATTAGATTATTCCATCACATTTTTTTTTTTTTAGATATAATTATACCAATCTCGGCCATGTTAATTTTGATAATAATATTTTGTGTTATAATATTTTAAAGTTTAATGCTCTAACAGGAAGGGTGAGTTATCTTACAGATGATTAGTTATTTCAGTAAAACCTAAAAGATTATGATTAATCTCTTAGGTTTGTTATTACATAAAAGTCAACTTTCATTTTTATTCTTATAGGATGAAACCACACACCCATGTAAGCCGGCAATTTTTAAACCTATAATTAAATTTTAAACTTGATTTACTTTAAATCAAATCTTGTTTTTTGTTAGTATGTTGTGAGTGTATTACTATTCAATTGTCCACATTATTTTATCCTAAAATTGCTTTTGACTTCATATGTACTTATACTATTAGCCAATAAAATTATGTGCAGACAACTAAATCCTAAAGTAAATATAATTTATTTTCATTTCATTTCATTTTCAGTGTGTAAGGTTCAGTAAGTAAAGGCTCTAATTGAAATTTTCTCACTGGAAAGTGTGATGAATAATTAAAAATATATTCTTATGACTTCATGTAATGTTAAGGTTAGCTGAATTGTGATTAAAATTTATAGCATAAATTTGTTCAGCCTAATATTTCCAGGACATTAAAAAAAATCGCAACACACAACTTTCACTTACTGCTCATCTTTGAATAGAAATTATTTTCTACCATGTTGGGTTATTATAAAATCTTTTAATTGAATTTTTAACTGAGCTAAAGCTAAAAGATTACAGCTAACAAATAATAAATACTATTAAAATAACAAAAGTCCTATTTATTATATCACCGGTTGATTATGGATTGTACGATTCGTTGATTATGGATTGTACGATTCATTGATTATGGATTGTACGAATATTAGTTATTAAACTGTTATTTCCCATTGCAAAGTTTACTAAAACGGAATTAAGAGATTTGCATTGTCTGTCATAGACAGGTCAAAAGTTGTCACACTGATGGTAAATGGATTCTGTTGGAATATCGCAAAGAGAAAATTCACTAATTTAATTTTCTAAAAGGTTTCATAATGAGTTTTCAGAATAAACAGACGATAGATACCTAATTATTTAAATATAATATCAGATCGAGAGTTATTAAACTATAGTAAATATGTTACATTTTATAAACGTAACCATGAAATATTTTAATATTTCATTTCTTCTTTCACACAAATACAATGAAATAGTATCTTAAACACTGTCATTGCCTTTAATCCGTTTAAATTTAAATATAATATCAGACCTATAATCACTAAACTAGAGTAAATGTATTTAAGGTTATAAACATATGCTTTAAACATCCATGAAATGATTTTATATTCTACTTCTTCTTTCACACAAGTACAATGAAATAGTTTTTTTTAACAATGTCATTGCCTTG